CACCTTTGGAGCCTCATAGCTGGAGGTCTAAGAGGACTAGAAGCAGATGGCAAGGCAATCATTTTAGAAGCTATTTATTGAGCACATACTACATGCCAGGCTTGTGCTTTATTTACATGAAGCTTAGTGGTTAAAGTATGACACTAAAGTCCAGCAACACTGGGTTTGAGTTGGCTCCATCTCACCAGCTTTGATATTTCAATCAAGTTACTTAATCTCTTTGGGACCTGATTTTTTTATCTGTAAAATTATAATAATAAAAGTATTTACCACATAGGATTGTGAGGGATTACATGGGATTCTGCACACAACATGTTTTGCGGTGTCTGGTAGATATTAAGCACTGCATAAACGTGAAGCATCGTTCTATACACTTCTAATCTCTAACCCTGCCCTGATCCTGCCGAGTAAGGCCGTTAGTTAGAGAGGAGCAAAAGGTTCCATTTGTCTGTGGTTTAAACAAGATAGAAGTTTATTTCTCTTTATAACATAACACCCCAGAGGTGAGCAGGCCAGCACAGGAGTGGGAGGTTCCATCATGTTCAACCTGCACTTTCCAGTCAGTAGGAAGGGGGACATCAACCCCTTCCTTCTAAGGGCACCCTTAAAGGTTGCATATAACATTGCTGCTCAGATCTCATTGGCCAAACTTAGTCACATGACCATCCTACCTGCAAAGGAAGCTGGGAAATAAAATCTTACTCCCAGCTAAAATTGTGGGGATTTACTAGTAGAGGAAGAAGAAAAGGAAAATGGATATTAATTACTCTGCTAGAGTCCAACATCTATCCACCTCTTACAAAGAGCACATTTAGCGCCCCTCAAAAGGAGGGAAGGCCGGATTCCATCCACAGGACCAGCTCAGAGCCCAGGATCTCTGGGAGACCAGGTGTGGATGAGAGCCTCATGGTCTAGTGCCTTGTAAACGAAAAGGCAGGCAATATCATTCCTGCCTTTCCCCACAGACAACAGTGGAGGAGGAAAGGGATAAACTCAACTAAGACACCCACTCAAGGATAAAAAAGCTGTGGTACATATATACAATAGAATATTACTCACCCATGAAAAAGAACAAAATCTTACCATTTGCAACAAACAGCATGGAGGGACCTAGAGGGTATCACACTAAATGAAATAAGTCAGTCAGAGAAAGACAAGTACCATATGATTTCACTTATGCAGAGTCTAAAGAACAATATAAATGAACAAACAAAACAGAATCATAGATACAGAGAACAGACTGAGGGTTTCCAGAGGGGAGGAGGGTGGGGGACAGATGAAAAAGGTGAAGGGATTGAGAAGTGCAGATTGGCTGTTACAGAACAGTCACATGGATATAAAGTACAGCACAGGGAATATAGTCAATAATATTGTAAAAACCATGTATGGGGCCAGGGGTACTGGAAATATTAGGGGGGATACTTTGTAAAGTATATGACTGTCTAACCACTATGCTGTACACCTGAAACTAATATTGAATGTAAATTGTAATTGAAAAAAAAATTAAAAATTAAAAAACAAAATCCACTCAACAAGAAAAAATTGCAAATACCTGGCTGTCACTGGGTCTTACCAGTTACTAAATCCATTTGGGCAGGAACTACAAAGCCACTTCCTAGCTGTGGAGTAAGTCGGGCAGCTCATCTGCCTGCTCCTGCTTCTGCTGTGTGGGAGAATCTCCCCTGTCTTCCCTCCCCTGTGGCCTCTGGCGTTACCTCCTGGGAAGCTTTTCCTTACCCAATATCCTCTGCAGCTGCACTGAAGAATATGTGTGCCTTCTTGCAGACCTTAACAACTTGCACAGCCCTCTTCCTGCCGGTGCAGATTTGGGGGAAGTGGGAATAACTGGGGGTGGAGGTGCCAAACCAGGGTGTTCTGACCAGGTTTGTGGTTTCTTTGTGAATACAACACCCTCAAAATCTTACCAGTCTTCTGGTAAGATTCCTTATTTGAGTAACCACAGCCAATGGTCTCATATAGACATAACTTTTGTGCTTGAATACTCTGGATTTAGTGTACTTCCTAGTCTTTTTCTCACTGCTGGTAGCTGTCTAGAGGCATCTGAAACAAATATGCTTGACTGTGAAGGAAACTCCCTTATTCTGCCCACTGAGCCAGCTTGCACTGTTTGCTGAACAGGGTGTGCTTGAGAAAGATTTGGGACCACAGGTACAGCCCTTGATAAGCCTGCCTCCTTCCAAATACCTCTTAGAACTAGCCTGAGTGCATCTATCTTGTAGGACTTTGCTTGTAGCAGCAAGCAGCAGCCCATACACACCAACAATCTCAGTGTTTCTGTCCAGTTTCCATGAGTGTTAGCATATGCTTTACCTTTCAGGGGATCATAGATGACATACGTGCCATATGTTTTGCTGTAACCTAACAATGGTCACCAGCTTACCAGCATACAATATTTTTCTTTGCTATCTGATCCAGTCTCTACACCAATGACACTTGTTTTAGCCCTTTAAAGCAGTACCCCTTCCAGATACCAAAGTCTGCATTAGTTAGTATACAAGTTTGGCTGTTGTAATGAAGACCCAATTTAAATGACTTAAACAAGACAGTTTCTATTTCTTTCTTATAATAGTCTATAGATAGTCCAAACATGGTAAGGTGACTCTGAAACCCTTAATAAACATCTTTCATCTTGGGTACAAGATAGCTGCTCTAGCTCCTGCCATCACATTAGCATTCCAGTCAGCAGAAGGAGAAAAGGAAGAGAGGAACTCATATTTCTTTCTTTTAAGGCCTAATCTAGAAGTTGCTCACATCACCTCCACTCACGTTGCCTTGGCCAAATTTAGTCACAAGGCCATATTTAGTTTAAAGGGTGATTGAGAAGTTGTGTTTATGATAGCCAGCCATTCCAGCTAAAATTCAAGTGATTCTATTACTAAAGGAAGAAGAGGAAAATAGATATTGGGAGGCAACTGGCAGTCTCTGCCACCTAATGTTTTAGCCTCATTTTACATTTGTGGAAACAAGCTTGGAGAAAGTGAGCAATGCTTGCCAAGGGAATATGGCCAGCCAACAGCAGAGCATAAATTTTAATCAGGTCCATCTGACCCCTAAACAGGCTTTCCATCACATCCAGTCAGCAAATTTGGTCATCAAGGGGCCCACTGTTTACTTAAGAAATAAAAGATATTTGCATGTGATTCATTACGTAAATGCCAGACCAGTGCACACAGAGATATGTCCACAGAACACTATCAAACCAGTGCAGCGAGGGTGATGCAATCACGGAAGACTTTCTTAAAAGGAGCCCCTGCTACTGGCCCTGTAGGTGGACCATGTCTGACAATGGAGTATTGCAGGGGAAGGCAATGGTGGGAGCTGGTGTGTATCTGGCTTGTCTGTGAGGGTGGCCTGGGGAGCATGAGGGGGTGGGGGTTTTCCAGGTCCAATGCATCACACATCTCCAGGGACGGTCCACTTGATCTTTCTACTTTTTGTGGTGTTCTATTAGCTGTGCCTTAGAAGTTCCATCATCTGAGACCAGACAGGGATCCTGTGGAAGGAGAGCTGCATTTACCCCTGCACTGTCCAAGACACACACGGATGGGCAAAGTCCCTCCCTGCTGTGTTCTCCACCCCTGCCTCCCCAGGCAGGACAGGGGCTTTGAAGGATGATGGAAAATATATATTCAACGAATTCAGCAAGACATCCAGTAATCCATTACCAAGTGTCCACTCCAGGGCCAGAGGTGAGATGAAAGAGGCTGAAAGAAAAAGAGGAAGGGAGGGGCAGAGACAGAGGAGCTAGAGCCGCTGGGTCAGCTTTCCTAATTTGGACCTTGACTCAGGCCCCAAGAATGTTGGGGAAGGGGGGTGGGCAGCCACCAGAGCCAGGCTGGGATCCTGTTGGCATCAGAAGATGTAGAGACAGGAAACACAGCAGGATGAGGGGACTGGGGCTGCTGCACACCTGGACTTACCTCCAAACCACAGGTAGAAACAGGTGACTCTCACCCTGTGGACAAGTGTAGGTCCCAAGCCCTCAAGCCCATCGCACACCAAGCCCATTGCCAATCATCACAGGCTCCCACCTGCCGGAACCATCCCAATCCTCCACCAGAGAGGGAGGAACGGGCTCCCGGGACTCAAATGGGGATATCTGGACAAATATTGGCCACTCTCTGGATACCACCCACAAACCCCGTATCCCCAACCTCTCTTTCTAAGTCCAGCACCACCCACGACTGAAGTTCGTACAAGGAAGAAAGTTAAGCTCAACTCACCTCCATTTTCACTCATTTGGTGCCTGACAAAAATGAGAGAGACCCTCAAAGGAGGAACCCAGGACACAGAGCCCACCTCCTAGCCCCAGGGCCCCCACATTGCCCAAGCCACCTCCCCCACAGCAGGGTCCTTCCTGCTTGTTCTCTGAGATCCAGGAGGTGGCCCAGGACCAGACATCAAGATTCCAAGTTGCCCCTTTCCTCCCCACCCTGCCCCCAGGCTGCTGGGCTGGAGCAGCTGAGCGGGTAGACCTCTCCCTCCCCGCTGCCTGACACCCAGAGAGAAACTGATCGGGGAGGGCGGGGTGCCAGGGGCCAGGCCCAGAATAGTGCTGCCCAGCCGCAGTGTCTAGCACTTGCTCTCAGAAGGTCTGGATGGCCCGCGCTGTACGGAGGTTCCTGCCAGGGAGGCCGTGAGGGGGGACACAGCACACCGTATGAATGTGTGTGTACGTGCGTGTGTGTCTTTGACCTGGATTTTCTCTGTGTATGCGAGCATGTGGGTGTCTGTGTGTATATTTTCTTTGTGTAAGTGAGTTTACGTGATTCTGTGCCTGGGAATGGTTGAGTTTGTGTGTCTCTGAGTGTGTGTAAGTATTCGTGTGTGGGTGCGTGTGTTTGTGGGGTGAATGTCCATGTGTATATGTGTTTGTGAGGCGTGTGTGCGCTCGCTTGCGCACTGTGGGAAGGGAGGCCTGCGTTCCGGAACACAGGGTGCTCCCCACTCCTTCGGACACTCTCCTCCCCACAGACCCCATCCTGGAGCAGCCTTCTGGGACCTGAGTGTCAAGGTAGGTGGGCCGGTTCCTCCTGGCAGCCTGGCCTCTTTTTCCGGGGTCCCCAGGCTCCTCCACTCCACTAGCCTGGCTTTGTCTTCCTCCCATTTCCCTTTTTATTTCTCTGTGTCTCTTCCTCCTTTTCCTCACCTGCTCCTTCCTCTGGCATAGAAAGAGAAGGTGGATCTATAGTCTGAAGACTTAGACCCTGGTTCTGACTTTACCACTTATTAGCCGTGTGATTTGTGGCAAACTGTTTAACCTCTCTAATCTCTGGTTGTTAGTAAACCAGGAATGGTAGTAATGCCTCCCTTAGAAGATTGTTATGAGGTTTGAATGAGAAAATGTTGGGGAAAAGCCCTTTGAAAGCTTGCGAATATTCGAAGTTACTCTTAACATTTTCATTGATTCTGTTATGTTACTCCCTATTAACCAAACGGGCCCCCTTCCAGAGATGAGCTTCCTAGAGCAAGGAGATGGCACTTCATGGCCATCACCCGCCATGACCACCAGCTCAGAAAGAAGGCATGGGAAACGGGGGGCCAAGGCCTCAAGATGGACAAGGCAGGAGGCTGTGGAGGAAGAGGACCTGCCAGTTCTGGGGGAAGGTGAGGCCAAGACCAGCTCTAAGGGGGACGGGGGTGGGGAGACACGGTGGGAAGTCCCAGAGCCTGGGGCCTGGGCTCTGCCCTTGATTTTTCCATAACACAGACTTGGACCCAACCCTCACCTTGTAGCCTCAGTCTCGCTACATGGAAGGGGACCACCACATTGTAGAGCCAGGGACCCAATATGGGTTACTCAGGACAGAGCCACTATCTTGTGTGACTCCCTGAGACTCAGCTTTCTCATCTGCAAAATGGGGCCCACAACATCCAGGCTTCCCAAGGCTGCTGTGAGGATAAGCTGAGACAGCAGATAATAAAGTATGTTGGATGATGGAATTACTGTCTTCTCCCCACTAAACAGGTCCCCAGTCCAGGGCAGCTGCTGAGTCCATTGGGCTGGAGGCCACATTCCCCAAGGCCACACCCTTGGCCCAGGCTGCTCCCTCGGACATCCTCCCCTCCGAGTGTGCAGCCTCGGCCACTGGCTCCAGTACAGGCGATCTGGAGCTGGGCAAAGAGTTCCCAGCCGCAGCAGCCTGCAGGTCCGAGCTCAGCCTGGTGGAAGAGAGGCCTGCCCCGTGCCCATCCCTCCAGGCCCCGTTACCCAAGCAGGGCTTGGATGATGAGCTGCAGAAGCCGGGGTCCCAGGTCTACATGCACTTCATGCAGAAACACACCTGCTACGATGCCATGGCAACCAGCTCCAAGCTGGTCATCTTCGACACCACGCTGGAGGTGAGGCCACAGCTCTGCCCACCTTCATCCTCACGGGGTCGCGCCACCACTCACACCCTCCAGGACACTAGCCAGGCCAGGCCTCCCTGTGTGTCCCCTTCCAAGCTCCTTCTTAGCACCATGGATACCAGGATGGGGAGGACCGCTGCTCTCTGTGAGCAACCCCTAAGTGTCATCACAGCTTTGCCACTTAGGATCTGTAGGATCTTGGGTCTGCCACATTACCTCTCTCATCTCTAAAATGGGGGTAGGAATGCCTGCTTTGCCCTACAAGTTTCAAAGGACTCCTGAAACAATGCAGGATAGGTAGGAGCACTTTGCAAACCCTGAACTATGTGGAAGATATTGCAGAATGGCTTAGGACCAGAGCAGGGGATTCTGGGTACAGATAACTAGGATGAGCTCTGGTCCCTGTTCTTCCATTAGGCTGAGCTGCGAAATGCCTATCATTCCGTTCTTATCACGTACAGTAAAGCAGCGTTTCCCAAAACACAGAATATGTGTCGTCCACAGTGCACGATTTGATTCTAGTGACATGCGAATGAATATATTTGTATTAGTAGTTTTATATTTATTTTAATATATGTATTAGAAATACAACCAGCACGTTTAGATAGCATTGCTTAGGCTGAGGCCAAAATGAGTCAATGTAAAATTTATTTACATAAAAATATTTTGTAAATGCTATGTAAATAATTCTACCTCTAGTACTTACATTCACAAAATTATACTGTGTGTGTCTGTACACACAGGATTTCTGAGTGGAAACACAGTTCATTTTGTACACCCTGGTGTGCCTGATGAGGGGTCACCTTGGTGCTTCTGGCCACCAGCAGCCTTATCTCTGTAGCAAATGTTCCCGACAGGGATTAAGCCTGGTGTGCGCTGACATGAGAAAGGCTGGCTAGCTCCTGCGGAGCAGGACCTGTGAGAAGGCCCCATAGAAGCGGACCCTGGTTGGGACAGGGTGTCACCAAGGGGCAGTGAGAGACTCACTCTCAACTGTTCTCCCTGGTCTTCAGATCAAGAAGGCCTTCTTCGCCCTGGTGGCCAACGGTGTCCGGGCAGCACCTCTATGGGACAGCAAGAAGCAGAGCTTTGTGGGTGAGGAGGGCTGGGGACCAGAGGTGGTGGGGGAGGGTCCCTCGGAGGAGGGACTGGTGAGGTGGTTCTGCATTCAATTTTCCCATCTGTGGAGGATTTGGAACCAGCTGACCCCTCTAGCTCTACTGCTCAGGGTTCCAGGTCCCGGATGCCAGGTAGGAAAAGAGAAAAGGGAAAGGAAGAAATTAGGAGACTAGAAAAGGGGGGAGGGGGAGGAAATTGGAGGGAAAAGGAAGAATCCCATTTCTCAGGCACAGGAGGGGCTGCTCTGCTCCCCTCTTCCCACGATTCCCACTGTTGGCTCAGTACTAAGACTCTGGAGGGCCTAGAAGGGGAGTCTGACCCCTCAACCTGCCTCCCACCACAAGGCCCCAGGCTGACGCCCCTGTACCCCCCAACCCCGCAGGGATGCTGACCATCACAGACTTCATCTTGGTGCTGCATCGCTATTACAGGTCCCCCCTGGTGAGGAACGGGCTGGGAGTCCTGTGGGCACCCACCTGGGGAGTTCAGGGAGCCTGGTGCTTGGGGGCCCCATGCCTGACTTCTGCAGCCCTGTCTATGTCTCTAGGTCCAGATCTATGAGATTGAAGAACATAAGATTGAGACCTGGAGGGGTGAGCAGACAGAGGGGACCTGGAAACGGGCTGAGGGTGTGTGGGTGAGCATGGGCCAAAGGCCTGAGGGAGAGGACAGGCAGTGGGATTTCCTGGAGGAAGCAGAGGAAGGGTGACAGGAAGCCCAGGGGGCCCAAGGGAGGGGATGCCCTCTGGTGGGCTGTGCGCTAAGGCAGGGTAGCCAGTTCCCTTGGCCACTCTGGCTTTTTCTGCAGAGATCTACCTTCAAGGCTGCATCAAGCCTCTGGTCTCCATCTCTCCCAATGACAGGTAAGCATCCCCAACCACCCACCTGAGCCTCCTTGCTCTACACAGTCCCCTTCCTCACCCCTCAGTTCTAAACTCAACTGCGCATCTTGGGGGCCCACAAGGCAGCCTCAGCACCCCATTCTCCCATCTAGGGGCTGGGATGAAGGGTGTCTCTCCCCAGGCTGCCTCAGGCTGTTTCCACCCCTAGCCTGTTCGAAGCCGTCTATACCCTCATCAAGAACCGGATCCACCGCCTGCCCGTCCTGGACCCGGTCTCAGGCGACGTGCTCCACATCATCACACACAAGCGGCTACTCAAGTTCCTGCACATCTTTGTGAGCCTAGGGGGGACCAGGATCATTAGGAAGGGGGCAGCTGGGAGCCCTGGAGGCTGCTCATTCTGATGGCACCATCTGTCCCCAACCCACCCAGGGCACTCTGCTGCCCCGGCCCTCATTCCTCTCCCGAACCATCCAAGATTTGGGCATCGGCACATTCCGAGACTTGGCCGTGGTGCTTGAAACGGCACCCATCCTCACCGCCCTGGACATCTTCGTGGACCGGCGCGTGTCTGCGCTTCCTGTGATCAACGAAAATGGTACCCACCCAGAACAGGGCTCAAGGGGGCGGGTGGCAGGGAGGGGCAGAGGTCTGCGTAGCATCAGCTCAGGGCCCAGGGGGGAGCCTGGAATAGAAGTCTCTGCTGGCTTTGAGCCTTGGACCAGTTACTTAGCCTCCCTGTGCCTATTTCCTCATGTGTAGAGTGGGCATCTTAGCAATACTCGCCCTCTGATTTCACAGGATGATTTTAAAGGATTATGTGCAATCTAATGATCATAATGAGGGAAACGTAGATGAGGTTTTTCATTTTAATTCATCCTAAAATGGGTCATGGGACTGACCCCGTCAGACATCAATTTCTTGCTCTGAGAAAGGGTCAGAGGAATTACAAGACCACTGCTTTGGTAAACCATGGTTGTAATGATTTCAAAGTTAAATTTGCGATAATGAAGCTAGATATCAAGAAGCATTGTAATTTATTTTTTATTATGAAAAATTTCAAATGTATGAAAATGGTAGAGAAACTGTATAATGAGCCCCACATATCCATTGTCTGGAAAACTATTGTTAACATATTGCCATAATCAGTTATTTTTCTTTCCTTTTCTTTTGCTGAAGTAATTTAAAATAGATTATAGACATCATATCATTTCACACCTAAACATTTCAGTCTGCATCCCTTAAAATATTTCCTATATCACCTTAAAAAACTATAAATAATTTATTAATATTATCTAATATCCAATTCTCATTCTCACTTCCCCACTTTTCCCAAGAATATATATATTGTTTTACAGTTGATTTGTTCAGACCAGGATTAAGGGCTATACTTTGCACCTGCTTCTTTTGTCCTTTAAATCTCTTTTAATCTAAAACAGCTCCCTCCCCATTTAATTTTTCTGACATTGGGGATGAAGAACCTGGGTCAGTTGTCCTATAGAATGTCCCACCCACCTCCAGGTCTGCCTGTTTGCTTTCTACAGGTGGCCTTTACCTGTTCCTCTGTTCCTGTTTCCTGTAAATTAGATTTAAGGCTCTATCAGATTCAGGCTGGCCTATTTCATAGGTGACTCGATGTGCTCATATTGTGTCACATCAGGAGGCATGATGTCAGGTTGTCTCTCTCTCCATGATGCTGTTGGTCTGTGGGTTCATATAGTGACCACCTGATGCTTCATTATAAAGCCAGTAGTCTGAGGGTGGGTGGGGGTAGAGAATGTCCAGCCTTTGCATGGCATCCTGGTTCTGATCTGAACCTCTTCCTTGTCTTTCTGTCACCCCACCTGCCACCCCTGTAGGTCAGGTCGTGGGCCTCTACTCCCGCTTTGACGTGATTGTAAGTGTCTGTGGGGAACGGAGCTGAGGGTATTGCAGGGAGGCTGTGGGTGTGAGAATCAGAGGCATCTGTGGACCAGGGGAGCCTTTTCAAGTGTGTAGGGGGCCATATCCACTGGACTATAGCCTGGCTGAAGGGGCGACTAAGAGCAATACTTCCCTCCCTGCCCAGCACCTGGCTGCCCAGCATACCTACAACCACCTAGACATGAGTGTGGGAGAAGCACTGAGGCAGAGGACGCTGTGCCTGGAGGGAGTCCTTTCCTGCCAGCCCAAAGAGAACTTGGGGGAAGTCATCGACCGGATTGTCCGGGAGCAGGTACCCTACGCCCTTCATACATGCTCCCATCACATATGGTTCAATGCTTCCCATGAACTACTCCAGCTCTTCCTATACATAGGACACACCTGCCCTGTCCTATTTCACGGCCAACCTCTTGGTGTCCACACTGGTCTGCAACTGGTCCTGTTCATGGGGCCCTCAGGCTATGGGCCACAGCCAGCTCATCACCCCAGAGAGGTCAGAACCTCAATTGGTTTCTAAGGGACACTCTCTTGCTCCCCCAGTTATGTCCAGTTGTTGCCCCTGATTCTTGATGCCAACCGCACTGGCTGCCATAGCCACATGGCCCTGTCCCCTGACTGAACTTCTGTGGGCCCACAGGTACACCGGTTGGTGCTAGTGGATGAGAGCCAGCATCTCCTGGGCGTGGTGTCCCTCTCCGACATCCTTCAGGCCCTGGTGCTCAGCCCTGCTGGCATTGAGGCCCTCAGTGCCTGAGAATTTCCGAGTCCTACTCCCAGGCCACCCTCCACACCCAAAGCCAATGAAGGGAGCGGGCATCGGCCTTCATCTTCCCCCACCCCCATTAGCTGGTTCGACTCTGGTTCAGGTAGGCTCTGCCCTGGGCCATTGGCCTCAGCACCAGCCCTTCCATCTTTCTGGGCTCCCAGATCTCAGACTGGGGCACCCTGAGTATGCGAGTGGCCCAGCTCATAGCTGAGCAGCACCATGAAAACTACAAGTGTCAGGACTCACCATGGGGCCACCACCATTCTCAGTTGATGTCCTAGAGCCATCAGAAGAAGGGTACAAGAGGCCAGGGGAAAGGCAAGGGAGGTGTGACATGACTTCAGGTGCTCTGGGGAGATTAACCTGCCCTCTCACAATTCAGTTCCCACCTGCTCAGAATTCCACTACTAGAAGGAAGCAAGTTAATAAACCTTTGTTGAATTAAATTTCCCTGCTCAGTAAGAACTAAAAGAGGGAGCTTCTAAATACTCATCTCAGAAGATCTGATGTGATCTCAGACTTTTTCCTGGGAGTGTTTGGCAGAGGGTGGGGCGCAAATTTCACCTGCTTGGCAATGAATGGCAAGACTGAGGTTCCCCTGCTGGAAACACTGCCTCCCCTCCGAGGTCATTTAGTTATTGGCTTCCCTTCTTTTTTCCTCACAGGCCTCTCCAGCCCTCCCTAAATGCCCTTGCCCTGCCTATGCTCCCAGAAGCTCTCAGGAATGCCCAGTGCACTATGGAATGATGAAATTAAGGAGAACAGCTGAGTCAAGCCTAGAGGTCCCTGAACCAGAGGCACCGGGATTGCCCTAAGGCCCCCGGCTCCATGTCCTCCCACATGACCTTCCCCCACCTGGGTTGTGACTGGCCCCAGTGGGGCTGCGAGCCCTCAGCCCATGGGTTTAGTCAGGGGCTCTGGATTCTTCCGAGCTCCTGGGAGCCCCAGCTGTTCTTCTGGAGCCCCAGCTGTTCTAACGTGGTTCCCACAATGTTGCCACTGCCCTCCTACTCCCCCTGCATTGTCATTTCAGGGCTGCTGGGGGCACCAGGGAGCAGCAGTTATTTGCAGAGCTGCCTGTTAGAACGGGGCCTCCCTCCATTCTGTCCTCAGCTCTCACCTGCAAACAGTGCTCTCAGTCCCCAGTGATGGCCCTGTGTTCAGGCCACTAAGGATGAACGATAGAGGAAACAAAAAGAAAAGGACAGCCCATGAACTTAGGTTTTAAAAGTTTCACTCAGAAAATGCTAGTTATTTGACCTGAACTTGTGGCAAGATCCCTGCACTTTCTGAGTTCAAAGACTTGAAGGAAAACCTGTGATTGGCAAACACTGCAAGTGGCTTTTCTTTTGTGCACAGTGTTATTCCACTGAAATGTCTTTTTCATCTTTTATTTATAACAAAACCATAAAGTGTTGGACGTGTGCCTCGTACTGGCCACTGATGGGCTTTGTGCCAAACCTCAAACCAGAGCTGGTGTTTTTCACCCTCCAGAGAGAAAGGTGCAAAGGAAAGAGCCCACACTATTACATCACATCCATCCTGTCAAAGAAAGTAATTATTTCACTTACATCAGACAGTCTCATCCAGGCATCATGCTGGAATATAAACTGGCAGAGGCCATTTCCAACCCCCAGGATAAGCAAATGAACTTCATGCACACATATGGTGTATATGCACTGTTCTGCAGGCATATTATATTTCAATAAAAATCTTGTAAAAGTTAAATTAAAAAAAGAACCTCTAGTATAAAGAGAAAACCTCTTTGGCCATGTTGTATTTTGTTTTCCTCTGTTGGGGTAGAAGTCTTTGACTGTCTTCTTCTTAGAGCCATGTCCGTGGGCAAGGTTTCATAGCTGAGTTAATAGCTCTTTGGCTCTTACATCTTGTAGGACACAATGCTCACTTGTCACTGATGGCAAGGCTTTGGGGGGGTGCCTCTGAAGCTGTGCCTACACCTCGCCTACTCTTTAATTAATCCTCACAAGGACATTACTACTTCACCAGCCTGCTTAGCTCTTGTTTTGGCTCTGCGTTTCAGATTTCCGATTGAAGACTGGATTTTAGGCCCTATAGGTTATGCCCAACAGAACAGAGCCACCTCGAAATTTCCCTGGGTGCCTCTAGAGGAATTGCTTCCATTGGCAGCTATTTCTACAAACTCATCTTCATAGATTTCTTCCAATTGAGGTATAATTCACATTAAATTCATTCTTTCAGAGTGTACAATTTAGTGGTATTTAATACATTCACAAAGTTGTGCAACTGTTATCTTTATCTACTTTCAGACCATAGTCATCATCCAAAAGAAACTCCATATTCATTAACAATCACTCCTCATTCTCCCTTCCCCCAGGCTTCTGGCAACTATTAATTTACTTTTTTACCCTATGGATTTGCCTATTCTGTACATTTCATGTAAAAAGAATCATACAAGATGTAGCCTTTTCCAAATGTATGGTGACAGATGATTTGACTTCAGGTGGTGGGCACACAATGCAATATACAGATTATGTGTTATAGACATCTACACTTGAAACCTATATAATCTTATTAACCAATGTCACCCCAGTAAATTTAATTAAAAGATGTGGTCTTTTGTGTCTGTTTTTTTCATTAGCATAATATTCTCAAGGTTCGTCCATAATGTAGCATGAATCAGTACTTCATTCCTTTTTTTATGACTGAATAATATTCTATCCATGGATATACAAGATCTTCATAGATTTTAATGGGAAATTATCCTATATATTCATTAACTGAGCTGTAGATCATGAATGTTGACACTCTTGGATAGATGCTACAAAAACCCCAATTCCAAGCCACATCACAACAACATTCCCCCACCCAAGTGCCAGCACTGAGGGGTTCATGTGACTTGGGCAGCTCACCTTTGGTGGTCTGAAAGAGCAACACACTGGGAAAGGCAGAAGTCTGCTTTGGTTGACATTGTGACAGGGATCCTGGCACCCTCTGACTCCAGCCCCAATCCTCTGCATTTACAAGGAGCTCTCACAGGGAAACCCCTACACAGGTAGGGTTAAGATCCATGCCTTTATAATCAGGAATTCCTTCCAATTATCTCCAGGTTTCTCTTCTCAATATGGAAAGTTCATATCCATCCCTGTCCTTCCCTTTCCTTCCTCCAGTTCTGGTCTCTTCTCATGCAACAAACATATATTAATCACCTCCTAAGTGCTAGACACAGAGTTAGACACTGGGAAACAAACTGAAAGGAGCTTGATTTGTGCCCTCCATGGGGTTCACAGCTGGTTGCGGTGACAGTCATGTCTACAACAAGGTGAACAAACTGAGTGCTCAGCTCTGTAAGAGGAAGAAGACAGGGAAAAGCACAAAAGGAAGTGCTCACACTCACCCAGAGAGGTGAGGGAAGGCTTTGCAGAGGCAGTGACATGAGGTGAGTCCTAAGGAAAAGTAAGTTCTCTGGGATTACATGACACTTTGTGAAGACAATGTTCCAAGGAGAGGGGACATTAAGTACGAAGTATTGAGGCCAGAAAGAGCATAATATGCTCAGGGAAATACAAGGAATTTGGGCTCAGCTGTGGAAAGAGTATCTGAATGGAGAGGAGGAGTTGGGAGTATGGAGGGTAAGATACCAGAACATGAGTCTTCTAAGCCCCAGTTAGGACCTTGAAATTTGCCTGAGTGCTAAGGATTTTAGTCAGGACAATTACAAGCTTTTTTAATGGGCTCAAACTCAAATCCCCACAGATGTAAGAAACTCAACGTTTGTTTTCTATGACTCAGCAGAACAACTGGGACTGGGACTCTATGAAGTTGGGACTCACTGACTTCTCAGGCTTGTGATGTGGTACATTGGATCTCAATGCAAACCCACTTTCTTTCTAGTTGACTTTCTCTACTAAAGAGTTTTGAAAGCTAAAAACTATAATCCCCAGACTCTCTTGCAACTAGAGTTCTAAGTGTGACTCTCAGATGTATGTGAGAGAGATCTGTAAGGTTGTTGTGAGGCAGAGGCCATGCTTCTGCTGCTCCTGATCTTTCTGGAGGCATTAGTAGAGAGGTTCAAGTCCAGGGACTACTGGTTTCATGAGTATTAAGAGGCAGGAGTGGGGAGGGAGGGAATCTTTTTCTTTTTCCAGTATAGACCTGGGAGACATGGAATAGCTCTAGGGCCAATAGCTGTAGTGAGAGCTTCCCAGCTCTCATTCTCCTGAGTGTGGCGAATGTGGTGCTCCCCAGGCTGGTCAGTGCCCTGGTGATGTCTTAAAAATTTGTGTAGCAACTTGTAGTTCCTATATCTAAGCACTTTCTGTTCAAAAGAGGGTATTATTCTCAGTGCCTGGAAGTATCTCTGCAGCTCTTGTTCAGGCAGGACCTCATACAATTCCAGGTAAAGCCAAGGCCTCTCTGTGAGATCTGGGAATGCATATGATGTTCTCATTTCCATGGAGGGAGGCGGCTTTGCCTCCCACCAAGATTCCTAAGTGGGGAGAGGGTTCAGATGCTGGATCATCAAAAGAATGACCAAGGTCTCCAATTATCAATAAATGCCCCTTTATTCTATATTTCCCCAAAGATAGCAATATGTCAAGGATTTGGCCTTTTATCTAAGAGGGAGATGAGCAAAATGATAAAAACAGCAAAAGCTCATGGGAAGTGCACTGAGTTTCTCCAACCTTTGGCATCTAGCAGCCCCCCTTTTCTCCTCCTTATCTGAGACATAGCAGTGGGCCAGGAATCACTGTGTGAGGGCCGGGGCCTCTAGGACAAGCCTCAGGATGGCAGGGTACCAGCTCAGCACATTCTCTGCAGGAAACGCAGGCCCACGTTCTTATGAGGAACCAGGACAATTCGTGCCACACTCTTCACCTCCCCCGTCTCAGGGGCCAGGACCACCTCATACTGCTGGATCAGCTGGAAGGTACAGTGCATATGAGGTGGTTAAAGTCCATGATCTTCACCTGCTGCCCTCCTCTGCATGCTCCCACTCTCCTCCCCAAGGCCTCCTTTACCCCTCCCTGGCCCACACACCTCCTGCCTCACCCCACTCACCCTTGCCAGCAGCAGCTGCATCTCCAACTCTGCAATCCTGCGGCCCAGGCAACCCCGGACCCCATAGCCAAAGGGCACAGAGCCAAATGGGTGTTGGACCCCAAGGGTATCAGGCTGACTCTTCTTCAGCCAGCGACGAGGCTGGAAGCTTTCTGGCTCAGGGAAGATGCTAGGGTCCCGGGACACCACATAGTGGCAGAGCACAAACTGGGTCTTCAGAGGAAGAATGGGCAGCACATTAGCTTAGGGTGTGGGGCACCCCTGGGGACCCCAGCTCTCTAACCCCACTCACATTCTTGGGGAAGAGGAAACCACCAACTTCAATTTCTTTTTCCACGATTACCCGGGAATTTATGGGGACCACAGGGTAGAGACTGCAGGGAAAAG